GTATTGAAACTGTTATGGGCGGCCAATGGTATGATGCGAATATCTCGATTCCTGGATGCGACAAGAATATGCCGGGTGTCATGATGGCAATTGGCAGAGTCAACAGACCAGCTCTTATGGTTTATGGTGGTTCGATTAAACCAGGATGTGCCGCAACTCAAAACAACGCAGATATCGATATTGTCTCGGCATTCCAAGCCTACGGACAATTCATTACTGGAGAGATTACAGAAGAACAAAGATTCGATGTTATTCGTCATGCTTGCCCAGGTCAAGGTGCATGTGGTGGAATGTATACTGCAAATACAATGGCATCAGCTATTGAAATTATGGGAATGACTCTTCCGGGATCTTCTACCAACCCCGCAGATTCAAAGGCCAAATTACTTGAGTGTTACGCAGCTGGTGGCGCAATTAAAACTCTTCTCAAGGAGGACATCAGACCTAGAGATATCATGACCAGAAAGGCTTTCGAAAATGCTATGGTTCTCGTCACCATCACTGGAGGATCTACTAACGCTGTTCTTCATCTTATTGCTATGGCAGATGCTGTAGGAATCAAGCTTACAATCGATGATTTCCAAGCTGTCTCTGACCGAACACCTTTTCTTGCAGACCTCAAACCATCTGGTAAATACGTCTTCAACGATCTTTACAGTATCGGTGGTACTCCTTCTCTGATTAAACTCCTCATCAAGGAAGGTGTCATTGATGGATCAGGAATGACTGTTACTGGTAAGACCCTCGCTGAGAACGTCAAGGATGTTCGTGATTTCCCATCGGACCAAGAAATTATTCGTCCATTTTCAAACCCTATCAAAAAGTCTGGTCACATCCAAATTCTCCGCGGTTCCCTCGCACCAGGCGGATCTGTTGGTAAGATTACCGGTAAAGAAGGGTTACGATTCGTTGGAAAAGCTAAGGTTTATGATGCTGAAAATGATTTCATCGAAGCCCTCGAACGTGGCGAAATCAAGAAGGGAGAGAAGACTGTTGTAGTCATTCGTTATGAAGGACCAAAGGGTGGACCAGGTATGCCAGAGATGTTAAAACCATCCTCGGCAATCATGGGTGCAGGTCTTGGAAAGGACGTCGCTCTTATTACCGATGGACGTTTCAGTGGAGGATCTCACGGATTCTTGATTGGACATATCGTACCAGAGGCACAAGTTGGTGGACCAATTGGATTGGTTAGAGATGGCGATACCATTGTTATCGATGCTGAGACGAGAGTATTGGATTTGGAAGTTGAGGGTGGTGAGGAGGAATTGGAGAGGAGGAGAAAAGAATTCGTCGCACCTCCGTTGAAATATAACAAGGGTACTTTGGCAAAATACTCGAGATTGGTACAAGATGCTAGTCATGGATGTATTACCGATGGAGAAATTGTTGAGGCATGAGGGAAAAGATGATTTTAGATGCACATAGGAGAAAAAGCAGACGACAACAGAGGATGAAAACAAAAATGTATACTTCAGGAAAATCCGGTCTGGGGTGACGGGAGCAGAAGTGGGGGAATAATATTTCGGTGTTTTTTTGCGATTCATGACTTGGCGTTTTACGATGATGGAATGGACCTCGAATGAAAAAGAATGTTGAGGTCTTAAACGGAAAGTAGTTATGTGAGACTCGTGAAAGGCCATGTGAAGACCCAGTATCCCAAATCGCATTCATACAAGACGAGATGCAAGATTGGTACACTCCCATAGCACATATGTAAACCCCTCATCCCTCCTGTGCGCAAGTGCTCAATGGGACCCCTTACTTATTGATGCCTTATCATTCTCACTTGAAGTTTCCCTTCTCACCATCTACAACATATGCTTGAGAATTCTTTTCAATCAACCCAAAAATATTCATCTCCTCTCTCTCCTTGATCTTCTCCCAAACATCGGGTCAGCACCCACCCCCGAAAATGATGACCGGTCGACAAACTTGACTGATTCGATAGGGTTGCACTTGTCCGGGTTGGGAATAAAGAGGGGTTGGGTTCTTTGGTGGTGTTTGGAAACGTTATTTATTTGTATACGTCATTTTGGGGGAGTTGGGAAGAGATTGTTGAGAGGAGGGATGAAAGGGATGAGATGGGATGGGAGATTTGGGTTTGGATGTTGGATTGATGGGTTTACAAGGTAATGGAGATGGAGATGAAGATGAAGATGAAGGTATTATTGAAAGAGAGTACAACGTGATTCATGAGAGATAGATTTGTGTGATGTTCTTTTTATTGAAACCTTAGTTGGTTGTAACGCTGATTATTACCATTACCATTGCCATTACTATTACCATTACTATCGCTATATACCCCCAGGTATGTCCCTCCCAAAACCCCATAAACTCCCGCTCTTCCAGTATCGTGGCTGTATTCCCATTTCCACGTCTGAAGTATTGTAATTCCCCAAAAATCCACAGATATCCAAGCCAGAAACGAATCTACAATTCAGATAATTCGCGCACTCCACCTTCCTTGGAAAGCTCTTCTTCCAAGCTCTTCTCGCGATCCTCTTTGCGCTCGCCTGAAAATCTGAACCCGATCCAGGCTTGCATATCCTCACTCACAACACCCTCACCCTCTCCCTCCACATATTTCGCCGCAAAACATGTCTCGCCCCCTCCCGTCATATCCGCGATTCGTTTCTCCTCCTCGAACTGGCGCACCCGCGCGAAATCGTGGACCCAGAAGCCGCGGCCTTCGGCCCAGAGGGCGGCGGCCATTTCGTCGAGGTCGACGCATGTGATGACGGATTCTGCATCGGCGTCGTACTCAGCGGATGTGCAGACATCGGAGAGATTGTCTGGTTGGTTGGAGTGAGTGCTGCTGGAAGATAGCTTCTTGGTGAGTGCGTACACGGCGCTGGGATGATATTCTGCCATGTTGAGATCGTTCTCAGCGTATGTAGAGGCGTCGGAGAGAGTGCCAGTTTGATCCTCGTGATGAGCGTCGGGATTGCTGGATGCGGTTGGGTTGGTGTTGGTCATCGCATCTTTATCGATAGCCATATTGTTGGGAACTGGGTGTGATTGACTGGCTAGAGTAAGTTTTTTGACGGGACCTCGTCTTAAGAGAGAGGGGTACATTGATCGAGAAGCGCGAGAGGCGTTCTGTCTTGCGCGATGATGAATGCGCGCGTGCTTTTTGATAGATGCGTGATACATGATTGCTTGGTTGAACAATATTTTCAAAGTATGAGAATTGGATGTGTACTCTGAGTGATGTGTCTTTACTTTTGTGTCTGGAGTTCGTTGAACTCGGGGGAACGCAGGTCATTTTATATAAAAAATTGTAGTTTGGAGCTAAATTGGTAAGGAAATAGAACATCAGTAGATGGAGTTTAAAAGCACGCCAGTAGTGACAAGTACGCAATAAGCTGTTCAGTTTGACGTTAGCACGATACTAGACGCGAACTAAAACTCGCTAGAAAACACTCCTTATCCCAGTTAGCGAAGTTTAAAATGTCAAATCAAGGGGATCGACTTCGTTTCACTCTATGCACCCTATTAGAACCCTCTGTAGACGAACCAGTCGGCTTTTTGATCGCAATATCATGTTACATATCTCATAATCATGATCGAGGTAAACTTAATTATCATAGTGGAGAGCTAAACATTTTTTTTCCCTCACGCCGTTGAGTTTTGGCTTGGATGTCGTGCATATATCGTAGTGACGTACTCGAGCTATATAAATCTTCCAATCCAAATGGAGCTCATAACGATATATGATGCAATCATTCCGAAACAGAAGATAAATTTGGTAAACCTTAAAGCTGGAATATAAACTAGTAAGATGATTGGCAGAATTGAAGAATAGGAAATAGCTGGATTGAGTTTAGTATCTAATTTAGACACATGGCAAGAGCAAGAAGTAGCTGGCGATCTATAATTGGAATTCTAGAAGATTTTTATTAATGTATGGTGTAATGACAGAAAATGCAGCCCAAATCATGGGATCTGGACATTTCAAGGCCATCAATCTGCTCGATGACGGGTTTAGGTAACCCTCAGTATTCGATAGCTTGGTATGCCCTCCTCGATTTTCCGATATTCATGCCATAAGTCTCAAACACTTGATTAGAATTTCAGTCCGCACTCATTGCTACAGTCTGGAGTTCTATTACAAACCATAAGTTTCAATTCAAAGGACTCTTGGCGTTATACTACTCCTTTTATAGAAGAATGACGGATTTGAAGAACAATACAACATCTTGGATCTGGGACGGTCGAGGCGACGAGCTTATCTCTTATAGGCTTAGATAGTCTTCAATAACTAACATATGCTAGTCTTTATCGGCAGTGATTACTGAAGCCTGAATTTTTTTGCTTTCTACGGAATCTTATTTCCTACAGAAGGACAATATAGAATGTCAAGATCCGGAGGAACGCATCCGTCTCTTATAGAAAGAGAATACATCGACAGCCCAAGCCCAAAGATCAATCTTTTCCCTCGTATGACTAGAAAATCTACAAAATGACCCCCCCCCAAGAAAACATCCGAGATCCATGACAAAATCTCAAAGAAATGAAAATATCGATGATTCATCTTCGATCGCTCAGGTAATCCTCAGTACAGGGCCATACTAAGCTTTTCTATATCATTTCAATTTCGACTTCTGTACACTCATTAATCTAGTGATAAATTACTATGAGCATTGAGTGAACATGTACGATGTCCGTTGACAGAGCAATGTCTTTATGATGATGGATTATGTAGATCACTTAGTACAACTAGAAGGCTCGCTATTACGTTTGAAGCTTAGCTTCTTAGTTTTAATTGGTGAGAGAGACAGTCCTGACATCTGAGAATAGCTTGTGTGGGATGAGCTCTGAGTTGGCTTCAGTAACGAGGCTGCGACTTTGAATCTAGATACCACGGTCAATTTGCTGTTGGATACGATTCAAAGACCTCATTCCAGCATTATAAGCTCACCAAAGAGAATCAAATTCTATGATACTATTGCAATATGAAATTTATAAGTACTGTGATCCTTATCATTATGCCTATCCTATAAACTCTCCGCACTAGTCCTCCCCGCATACTGCGAATCAGAAATATCACTCTTCCCATCTCCATATTCCACACCAACACTCGTCGTCTTAATAATCCCATTATATTTCATAATTTCATCATCACTATCTCCATCTCCCTTGCTCGTCTCCCTTTGAATTCCATTCGAATCCTCAGTCCTCCCATCTTTGACATCCGGCATATCCGGTACATCCTCCAATCTGATCAGTCCATTCCCGTTACTCAATCGCGAGCTCTTAAAACCTGTTCCGTTCCGGGTTCCGCGCTCATATCTACTATTGCCCTGCAAAGCATAAGGTCCGATGTTCTGATTATTATAGACGTCATCTTCTGAAGAACCAAAGAGATTTGGAAACCATTGCCGCATCACAGGTTTGAGAGCAGGAGCAGATGCAGTAATTATGGCGAGGTTTATTTCGATTGCTGAGGTTACAAAGCTGATGCCTCGTGTAGAATCGACGGGGGGAGGGTTGAAAAAGACGGTAACCATCATTACGAGACGGACTATGCCTACGACTGTTACCCTATATGATGGTCAGTTTGATCTTCAGATGTGTAGTTCGAGAAAGGAATTTTGACTTACAAAATTCCGAGAAAGAATATCCCAATGACTGCAATTTTAGTTTTCCGGGGCATTTTCAATCCAATGACGATCCAGAATGGAATAATCAAAACCAAAATATCTGTGACGAGAGCGATAACTGAAGTGGCAGCATAAAATGCACCTTGTTCAATACAATGGCCTCCGGGAATATCAACTTGCCAGTTATATGCAATGGGTGTACATTGGAAGATGACTACGATAAAAATAGCAACCATCAAAGCGTTATTAATGATCAAGAGTGCCCATATCATACGTTTGACTTCAATCTTCTGCCCTGCGAGACGGAGGAAGAACATCAAGATGGAAGTCTTGACAACGGCAAGAATTGGGTTATAGAGAACTTGAACGGCATAGTTATACTAAGAAGTGTCAATAAGCAGTGCTATAGGCCATTGTTAGGGTGCGACGAACTTTGAGTCCAGGAATCGGGTCGTGATCGAGTGGTACATCCCATATATGTAGCCCTACAAAATTGAATATAATGTCTACAGTAGTTTTGTTAGCGAGCACCCATGAGATATTTTACGTTCGAGTTACCTACATTGCCAATGTACATAAGTCTCCGCTATGGACAAAATCATAGAGAGCACGATGAGGCCATCATCTGTAATAGACCGTAAGAGGATTGCCACACAACGACTCAAAATTGGGAATCCTTACCCAAACCGAATTGACTTAAACTGACTCTGCTCCATACCCTGAGACACACAGTGATCAATGCCAAAGCTGGGCTGAAGGCGACGATGAACAAAGCCAAGTCTTGGAGTGAGGTATCAACCATAGCGAAAGGTATTTGGGAAAGAGACTTGGAGATCCTGTTCCATAAGCCCTCCACTCAATCGATTGGCGGTCACTTGAGTAAGGCATTTCAAGTATAAATGTTCGGGAGTAATTGCAGTCTCGAATGCAGAGTTGACAGCAAAACTTTAAACTTTCCCAGGATGTTTCTTTAAATTGAAATATATTTTGAAGGCTAGGGCAGTATTCCTCACAACAGGTGCAAAATTCTCTACTTTCTTGTTTGATTTCCAGAAACAGGGCGACCAGTCTAGAACAAGCTTGATCAGGCCGCGTGTTGTTTGAGGGTCTTTCCATTCCAGTTCGTATTTATGGTCTAAATAAACCCCTCATGACTTGGGTCCAAATCAGACGTCTCAAGAACCAATACTAAACTGTGCTTTTCATGAGGAAGCTTACCTAGTTAAATTAAATTTTGGACCGCTATAGTAGTGGAGTAGGTCATATAAGACGGAGAGCTGCTCATTCTTTGTTACCCAAAGAATTGCTTCAGAACATTATAGACTTCGTACGGAGGTACATGCCCTAATTTTTGTCTCACCGCCTTGAATTTACCATCAATCAAATCATTTTGCCCACACAAATTAATCCTTGACTTCGAAAGCGGTGAGACAAAAATTAGGGCATGTACCTCCGTATGACTCTCTGCTTCTTAGCTCAAGAAGGATACAACTCCGAAGCTAGATCTATATACCACAAAACGACAAGAGAAAAAAGAGTTTAGATTGATTTAATCAGCAGTGAGACCGTATACTTTCCAGCCGCACGCATGGAAACTAGAGATACTCCCGTAGTTCCGGCATCACTTCCCGGGCTACCGGTATCTGTAAAATGGTTGTTGACTCTCGGTCCACAAAGAACTTTGTTATAGATAGTCCGCCACTGCGGTAATAATGAGACGCAATAACGCTTTTCATTTTCCTAAAAAAACATTTTGCAACCTGCACACTGTGTCTGCGCTGGAAGTGATTGAATTTTGAAGGGGTGATATCAATTAGTACCTTCACAGGTTCGCAAAAGACGGCTTTCTATCAAGATTTTGCTAAGAAGGAGCCACTTTGGTATAAAATGTCAGGTTCGCCAATTACCCACATCACACCTTATGTGGCGTATGACTAGATGGTGTTATTCGAGGCGGTGACAAACCGCGAACAATACCAGCATCAATCGGGCAAGAATTATCCAGACTGGAAAATTTCCGCAAGTAAGCCGGCTCAAGTATGGAAAAGAAAAACCCCCATAAGAGTTGATTAGAAACTACCGATCTTGTGGATTTATATTGAGTTTTGTTTGGATTTCACTTCATCTGTGACCAGGGGAAGTCGGGTGCTTCTACAGTTCTGGGGCCGCAGTGGAGACTACCCTGCCAATTCCGTCAAAATTGAGAAAGCGATGACCCACTTAGGTATCTTTAAAGTTTTCTTCGTTGTATTCTTGGGATCATGGTTCGACGTAAGATGCAGACACAATCCATGATTAATGAAAACCTGTGGTTATGCAATTTGAGCATACATGGTGGTGAGATCGACAGAGGAATTCCTCATATCAAGGGAAGGAGAGATAAACTTGCGGTTATCTTCGATACAATGGATACAACTAGCGTCCCAGAGACCTTTGAAACAACTTCCATAAGGCAGAGATTCACAATGTTAGCACCGTGCTTTACGCGGCATATTAATACCTAGATCCATGTCGTTAGAGGAGCAGTGTGCAGCTGTGCAGTTTATGGTTATTCGTCCGAAGAAAACAAACAAGGAGATCGACAGGGCTTAAAATTGGTGTCCCGTTGAGCAGAAAAACGACTACCCCAGCGTGCCCAGGAGAAGAAAACCATCCTGTGCTTTAAGCGAAAAGGTGCAAAGGTAACAAAAAGTTCTCCATGTGGACGCATGAGCAAACACCACCTCCACAGAAGCACCCTGATGCAGCATTTGACTGCTTTCAGCTCTCTAGAAATTACCCTTCCACATTCAAGACAATATCAATATATTATTATATCAATAGTCAGCTATTCCTGTTGAGTCTCCTATTGGAATGGTCGAGTATGCCATCTATTTGTTACACAACGAGGTATGCATCCTGTAAGTCGTACGACAAAGCCGCCAGAACCCTCATGAACAGCCCATATATACCCCACCAAGTACAATCGGCGGCTCTCGGCGATCTTGCGTCGAGATACTGTGGATTGAAAAGCATTGGGGACATGATAGTTCTGCAGGTCCAAACGACGAATAGAGGCAAAATTTCGGATGAGTCGGAACCGATATCATATCCTGTCAGTTGCAGAGTTGTATATCCACACACAGCCAGCACCGTTAAGTAAACATATGGTTACGAAGACACGGGTTCGTAGCTTAGAAAAAGATGGAAATGATTAAAAGCCTTCTGCAGGCTATAGTTTGTGACCATGAAGACTTTTGTTATGTGTCAATATTATCTTGCCAGTGACATTATCAACGGTAGATTATTAGCAGCGTTTAAAAAAGCCATTGGAATTCTCGGTATTACACATTTCCATGTACTGCCCCGAAGCACGGGGAAGATTGAGGGATAACACCATGCGTATTTATACTGGATCCTGTGCAATGGGTTCAATTGATCCACTGCAGGATGCCTTGCCAAATCCGGCATGAAATTACAGCAATATGGAATCATCCGATAAACTGGCATGGCAGCCAAGTGGCAATCAGACGCAACGAAACAGTTCGGTCATCTCGGGGTATAACAGCGGCAGGGCTCAGTTCATATAAAAAGTCTCCCCTTAGTGGTTTCTCGACTTCAGTGGCCCCTTTGATTCTTTAATCGATAATTTTTGGAAGAAGATTCCACGTCGCAATAAAGGGCGTTGAAACTCAATTTGTTTACCTCATCAGTGACTACCAATTTTGGCAGTTAGAGTTTGTTTCTTTGATAACATGGCGGTTTCATCGTTCGCACGATGGGCCTTGGCTTCTCTCCTCGCTGTTCCGCTTGTACAGGGTTTAGCGACTGAGATCGTCGTTAATGGAACTTATTATTGTAAGTGGACTAACATAATCAGGATAAAGCCATGTCTTAAGATTCATCACTAACTTTGTGTCAGCTGTCAACTCTTCCACATTAGCTCCAGCCGGTGCACTTGTCGATGGCAAAGTTCAGCTCACGGATGCGATCGTCACAAATCTGACAGATATTGGACTATCGAATGCTGAATTGTTTGAGTTCGATACCAGCAGCAGTGACCTTAGCAAGAGAACCTATTCTTGCAAAGTTTATCCCGGTGATGCAGCATGGCCAGCGACCTTGATATGGGATATCTTTGATATACTCGCCGGCGGGGCGCTGATTTCAACAGTGCCTCTTGCAGCGCCATGTTATGCTGACTGGCCTCATCATGAGAACACCGCCCAGTGTTTGCAAATTACGGATGATTGGACAAACAGTTCGATACAGTATGTAGACTAACATCGTCGCAAATATATATGCTAATGGTACATAGCGCATCGGATCCCACCTCGATCATGTGGCCCCTTTATCAGGGACGGACGTGTATGCCTACTAATGATACTAGCGCGAGCTGTACGTTAGGAGCCTATCCCGTGTATGCACTAAACGTCTCCCATGTTGCCCAAATCCAACTTGCGGTTAATTTTGCTCGCAATGCCAACTTACGTCTTGTTGTCAAAAACACAGGTCATGACTTCAATGGAAAATCTAGTGGCGCTGGCGCGCTTTCCATCTGGACTCATAACTTGAAGGATCTCGAATACATTCCCAATTATTCAACCAGCTATTATACAGGAAAAGCTGTAAAAATGGGAGCAGGTATTCAAGCCTTTGAAATATATGAATTTGCGCGGGCGAATGGTGTCACAGCTGTTGGAGGTGAAGGTCGAACAGTAGGTGTTGCTGGTGGTTATGTTGCAGGAGGCGGACATTCCCCTTTGTCCTCCATCTATGGTATGGCGGCAGACCAAGTTCTCGAGATGGAGGTTGTTACTCCAGATGGGCGATTCGTTACTGCCTCGGCCATGAAGAATACAGACCTCTATTGGGCTCTCCGTGGAGGTGGTGGCTCGACTTTTGGTGTCGTAACATCCGTCACCAGTAAAGTTTATCCTGTCCTCTCGTCAACTGTCATGAAATTCAGTTTTGAAGTTGGTGGTAATATCACCGCTGATATGTTTTGGGCTGGTGTGCGCACCTATTTCGATCACTTCGTTGAGCACGCCGAAAAGGGTATTTATTCGTATTTCGCCATCCTCGCCACAGGTACTAATGCTTGGTCGTTTGGCATGCAGCCTTTATTTGCGCCAAACTACACTGCAGCTGAACTTGAAACTTTGGTTGCTCCATGGTTCGCCGAGCTTGGCAAGCTTGGTATCAGCATTACTCCTTCCATTACAGAGTACACTGAATTTTATGATGCATGGTGGGACAATTTCCCTCTCGAGACCGTTGGTACTGTCAATATCAAGACCGGTTCCCGTCTCTTCCCAAAAGCCAATTTCCAGAACGAGACTATTACCGATACCACCTTCTACGCTATTAAAGAAAGTATTTTAGCTGGAGGATCGTTCTTAGCTTTCAACATCCAAGCAGCAGACAATGCGGGGAATGACAACTCGGTAAACCCAGCTTGGAGAGACACTTGCTTGCACGCTATCATGGCAAACTTCTGGGCTGCAGATGCTGATAATGCAGCCATTGCACTGGCATCTGAAGTACTTACTTACAACTGGATCCAACTATGGAGGAATGTTTCTCCTGATGGTGGCGCGTATATGTCCGAGGCAGATATCATGGAGCCGAATTTTCAGCAAGCTTTCTATGGCACCAATTATGACCGTCTGTACAGCTTGAAACAGAAGTATGATCCAAAGGGATTGTTCTATGCGCCGACCGCAGTAGGAAGTGAGGACTGGTATATTACTGATCAATTGACTGGTTTACCTACCCAGAATGGGAGATTATGCCCAGCGACATGGTGATGAATCTGATCCAAGGAGAAGCGGGTTTATTCTCTGATATAGAATTTGGAACCGAAATAGTTGATAATGGGAATGAAATTTATGAGACCAGCTTATTTGCTACATGTATAATGTTTAAAGGATATAAATAACCAAATATTCGAAAGGCGCATCCAATGAGACCTGCAAGTTCCAAGGGTGGGAAACAGATAGATACCTTGAAGTGACACAGATTGATCAACATATGAGCGTTGAAAGCCGTTAAAAATCATATCTCAGACCATAGATAATTCGATCCAGTGCCATTTCAGCCAGGACAACAAACAGTCCTGACCGTGACATGAGTTGATGTTGATGTGTGGTGTTGTGTTTAGATATCTACTAGGCATAGGCATGTGGTCTAAGCTCAAGAGATGCCTCGGTATTCCCCGCAACGACGTAACTTCAAAACCCGCACATCACTCCTTCCTTTTTCAAACTTCAATCATAACATCCAACAAAAATCAGCAACATGCTACTAATTGGTCTCACCGGCTCTATTGCGACCGGTAAATCTACGGTTTCATCAATCCTTTCTCAAGCTCCATATTCTCTTCCCATTATCGATGCCGATTTACTTGCGCGCAAAGTTGTCGAACCCGGGACTCCAGGTTACGACAAGATTGTCGCACATTTCTCACCAACTACTCCCGATCTGCTCCTTCCTCCTTCTCCGGATCATGATAATACAAAAGGCGCACCGTTGAACAGGCCTGCACTAGGTAGAAGAGTGTTCGGGGATAGTGAGGAGAGAAAAAGAGATAGGACAGTGTTGAATGGAATTGTGCATCCGGCAGTCAGAAAGGAGATGTATAAACAATTGCTCGGATACTATTTAAAGGGTTGTTGGGCTGTAGTTCTTGATGTGCCTTTATTGTTTGAGAGTGGAATCGATGTTATATGTGGTACTGTCCTTGTCGTGGCCGTAAGGGATCCAAAGATCCAAATGCAAAGACTAAGGGACAGAGACTCACATCTGACGGAGGAAGATGCTGAGAACAGGGTTAAGAGCCAAGGGGACGTGAGAGAAAAGGCAAAGAGATGTCAAGCCAGAGGGGATGGACATGGGTTGGTGGTGTGGAACGATGAAGGAAAAGAGGAACTGAAGATAGAGCTACAAAAGGTTATGGAAAGTTTACAAGGCAAGAGTCCCAGATGGTGGGCCTGGCTATTACTATTATGCCCACCATTAGCTGGACTTGCTGGAGTCTGGAATTATTGGAGAAATCTTACGATCAACAAAGAGTGGAAAAGAGGAGAACTTCAAGCTAAGGCTAAGTTGTGATATCGCCAGTTACGTTGTTGCATGGATATAGTTTCATCAACTAAGTGAATCACGAAGCTTCAAATGAAGGATGGTTTGAGAGAAGCCTGTAAGGCTCAACATATAGGGTGGCATTGCAGGATGCCATATCTCACATGTATAACTGGAAGATCCTAACGACATGTAGCGAGGCCAAGAAAGTAGGCAAGGCTCTATTCTTTCTTATAACAGCTATCAAGATATGACCTTAAGGTTAGGTGGCCTGAACTGGTCGATCGATGGTTCCTGTTCCTGTTCCTTCAACTGTGGTAACCCATAGCGAGGATGGGAAATCGTCTATCCCCTAGGCCATATTCAAACAACTGGTTTCGATATCCATTATAATTCAAATTTACCCTCTTCCGTTGATAGCGACTTTTTTTGGGCTAGGATCTGGATCCAATTGACTTCACTTGGGCATTGATTAAGAGATGACGAATACTTGACAAACCGAGACGGGTCGATAGATTACAATCACTTGTTGGTTAAAGTTTTGATTGTATTGTATATTTACATCCAAGCCTTCCACAGAGCAGAAACGAGAATTATCCATCAGCCGCGTTCAACCTTTATCCCAACTTCTGATATCTGTCTGTTCCGGTGCAAGAGAGTCGGTCGTGGAGTTTCGCATATCACGTGAGTGTGAAATGGTCGAAGTGTTTATTCGTCTTCGCTATTTGAAGCATCATGTGGACTGGCGGGATATTTTGGGATCATGGAATGTAAGTTATGAGTTATGAAATGTGGGTATAACCTTGGAAGTTATGGGTTATAAGTAATATATTGTGAGGGAATGCTAGCAACTCAGATGGGAAGGTACGCTAAGGAACTCGATGTGGAAAGAAATAAAGATTTTGAACAAGCACCCTCAAGTAATTCCATTCTTCTCCCTTCCCTTGATCGTATCCATGCAAAGGAAATCTCCCTCTTTTCTCAGGTCAACATTTGAACTCTCTTTGATTCTCCTTAATACCATTTTTATGCTTCATCTTACATGTATTGTGGTTTCTATCTTTATTACCCAGAACATCGCGATCGAGAAAGCTTCACCTTCGAACTTCAACTCACAGATTCTTCAAATTTCATCATCATCATCGAGTTTAGACCTCTCGAAGCGACTTCTACATGTCGTTTTGCAGGCGTCACTCTTGACGTACTGACCATACCCTATGCTCGATTATCGGGCCTCTTAATGAAAGGTTCTCGGCGTCAAGTTCTCTTGATGGGTTTCATTCTTCATTGAATGCATTTTCTTTCTCCTTCATTGTCCGTATCATATATTCAATGCTGTGGACCATTCGTTCGAGTATCTGTGTTCATTCTACATCAGTGTATAAGAGCGTGTAGGTCATGCAACATAAGGCCTTTCAATTACATATCCTCAATGCATTTGGTGTCCGAGTACTAAAAGATCTGGTGTTAAAGTCTGATTCTGATGAAAGACATATAAGATATTCAAATACTCAAAGTTCGATTTCGTGTTGTCAGAAAGCTCTCCGCAATGCCGCAACGCCCGGCAAGTGTATTCGAGTGGATCGCTGGCCCTGCTCCGACGAAAGCTGCATATAGATCTGTTGGCATGGTCAGCTCCAAGGTTGCCATGGCCGATTCCAAGGTTGCCGTAGGAAGTCCAACGCGTATTCGCCGCCGTGTTCAAATCGAAGTCGAAGTTTCTGATTTTGGTGCCTCTTCCGCCAGTTCTTCCGAAGAAGAACCTCCTCCGAAGCCAGCAACCAAGAAAGCCGAAAAGCCCAAAGTTAAGGAATCAGAATCGAAAAAACCTCAAGCCGCCAAGGAAGTCGACAAGAAAGTCAAATTTCAAGAACCAACTTCCAAAGAGCCAAGTTCCAAAGAGCCAAGTCCCAAACTTAAGTCTGCATTGAAGAAGACCACCTTGGACATTTCAGCAAGACCTCGCCCATGCGAATGCTTAGAATGTAAAGCTCGGCAGAAACCGAAGAATAAAAGCAGCGCGGAAGATTCAAGCGATTCCAGCGAGGACAGTGAATTTGAAGTTGCACTGACCAATAAACCATTTGAACCATTTAAACCATTGAAGAAAAAACAACAATCGAGCAACAACAACCAAACCCAACAACCACGAATCTTGAAGCTCAAGCAAAATCGGAATTCTCAAACAAACCAACTTCAACGGGATTTTAGTGCGCATGAACGCGGCAATCATCAGAAACCCAGGTTCAATAATCGCCAATACAATCAAGAGAGCTCAGACGAGTCCAATCAATCTGAGATTGCAGTTGTTCAACAAAATCGAAACCCACCGCGCTATCTGAATCATATGATGGAGGGAAGGATCCTTCAAGAAATGAGAGCTGAAGTTATACTTCGCGAAGATGTGATTGAAACGGCGTCTGATCCTCGTCCAAACGCATTTCTTGACACGAGAAGTGGTGTTCTTCGAGTGTACCATGGTCGGGTGTATGGTAATCCTTTTGCGACACTTCTCACGCCAGCTGCAGTGCCAATTGGTACCTTTGCTCCAACCCCAGCCCATTTTGGTGTCTCGCCTCCGATGTATAATATGTCTGGGGGCAACGGGCCTGGTCCTCATGATCAACACCAATTTCAACCAGAATTACCCCGCAATTTTTCGAATAATACTGTCAGACATACCCCCAATCAGAATTCGCAGCGCAATTTTTCTAGTAACCATACTAACCGGGCTCCTTCCAACAATCGGCACCAGCAGCAGGGGAGCAGCGGCAATACCAACAACCAGCATGTGCCAGGTGGTTGGGTCGATGATACAAACAACAAAGAAGGCTCCGGTTCGGGAGGCAACAACAATAATTCGGGCTCTGGTTGGAACGATAACGAAGACCATACCAATAATAACCAGAATTCGGGTGACTGGGGAAATAACGAACCAAACAATAATCAAGCCTCGGGTGGCTCGGGAAACAATGGTCAGAACCGCAGCCAACGGGCCGCTTCTGTTAGCAGTCACAAAACACAGACATCCAACAAGCAGAAAAACAACAAGAATAGCGAAATGGGTCAAGCGAACCAGAGTAATCAGTCTAACAACAACAACTCCGGCAATGCATGGGGCGTAGATAATAATGATCAATCTGGCAACTCAAACAGCTGGGGTGCCAACAATGATACAGGCGGGGATTCTGGCTGGGGAAACGATGCGAAGCAAGATGTTGATGCCACAGCGAATAATGACTCTTGGGAAAATGATAACAGCAACTCGAATGACAAACCCAATAATCAGAACTCTGGCTGGGGAGGAGACAATCAGGAGTCGAACAATCAAAACTCAGGTTGGGGTAACGATAACAATCAAGAATCAAATGATAACTCGAACAACCAGAATTCTAGTTGGGACAATGATAATAACCAGGAGTCAAACGATAAGTCGAATAATCAAGACTCCAGCTGGGGCAATAATAATAACCAGAACTCGAATGAGAATTCCAATAATCAGGGCTCGGGCTGGGGCAACGATAATAACCAAAACTCGAATGATAACTCGAACAACCAAAATTGGGACTGGGGCAATGACAATAACCAAGACTCTAATGATAACTCCAACAACCAAAATTCTGGTTGGGGAGCAGATAACCAGGATTCCAACAACTCAAATAACAAGCCTTCAAGCTGGGGCAACAATGATGATAACGGCCAATCAAACTCCAAAGAACAGTCAAACAATGAGAAGTCCGGCGGTTGGGGAGTTGGTTCAGGCGATCAAAACAATAATACATCCGGAGGCTGGAGAGGTTCGAACGAGAAACAAGGCAATGCCAATTCGGGAGGATGGGGAAATCCTAACAATCAACGAAACAATGGCAAATCCGGCTCTCGCACAGCTTCACAAAATAATACCAGGTCAAACAACAACTCAAAAAAGCCACAAAACAACAAGTCAAGAAATGATCAAAACTCCAAAAGCTACGATGATCCTGAGTGGACCGCCCACAACGATAACCAAGAGGAGGACCAGCAAGACAACAGTAATGACTGGGGACCAACTAATACAAGCTATAATGTCGTACAAAGTGCCAAGGGCAAAGGCTGGAACAACAAGAAAACTCAAAATCAAAGCAATAGTGGCAAAAAAGGAAGCTCCAATAAAGGAAGTCAATGGGGAGGCGATGGTCATAACTCCGGCGAGGGAGGAGATCATGATGAAGATGTAGAAGAAGGAAACCCACAGTTTAGGGATCATACACCTACTAGTAGTGAGATATTGAGGAATTGGGATAGTACGAATCAGGGTGGTTACGCAGGATTTGGAAATGTGAATAATGGAAAGTATAATGGTGGTGGAAAGAAAAAGAATCATGCGAGAACGCCTACTGCTTTGAGTCTGGCAGGAAGTTGGGCATCTTCGGAACCTAGTGATAATGAATACACTGGTCGAGGTCGCAAGAGTAATAAGGGGGGTAAAGGGGGAAGGAATAAGGCGAGTAAATCGAGTAATACGGGGTATGACAATAATGCAAGCGGTAGTAGTGGATGGAATGTTACCGGCACTGGTGGTGGGTGGTAGAGTGCGCACAGTTTCGGTCGATTTGATGGAGCTATGATTGCGTGGACTTTGTGTCGTATTGTATGGTTCCGTGGAGAAAGGGGGGCGTGGGCGTATGAACGAATGAAGGAGGAAAAGAGATTTCTGTTCTGGCATCTTACAAAATTCGACATTGTGCAGGTTATTTGAATGGCCGAATAAGTCTCTATATCTACGCGGAACACTTTTACATTTGCACATATTCCGTAGGTTGGCTTCATGGGTTGTAATGATGAGACGAGGAGACATCTTCGTTTGGAGGTGTTGCAAGGATTTAATAAATAGCCGCGATGATAGTATACTAATAGCAACAGAATAGATTGACACTATAACATTTCTTTGTAAACTATATGGGCTTCTGTGAGATTATTTAGACTATTTGAAAATAACAATATTATTATTATTATTAATAAGTCTTTAATATTAAAGAATTAAAGATAAAGTTTGTTCTATTTTTTTTTTTTTTTTTACAATTAAACTTATAATAAAAGATGTCAATCATATAACTATATATAGATCACATAATCATATATAAATCGAATTCCTAGATATAGAAAATATAATCTATATTATACATCATATAAAAAGTCCGTAAAATCCGACGCATAGGTTTCTTTCGCTACGCTCCGAAACATGAGAACTTCAATACTTAGTAATAACGCACAATCTTTTAGCTACCTTGGACCCCCGGTGAGCTCTAGTTTTGGGATTGAAGCTTGGGCCACCTACGTAGGCATCTTCAAATGTCAAAGCTCTCCAGCTTGCAGCAAGGCTGACATCTTCCCCTCACTACACTTTCTCATTCTCCATCCCATTACAACAAATAATAAACCACACCTCCACCACAAAAATCCCAAATTCCACATATACAACTTCCATACCCTATCCACGCCCATCATGACCGCACTCACGACCCCCCCAAACTTTCCCTCCATTTCAGAAATCCTCCCATCCCCCTTCCCCGCCCGTTCCAAAACCGCTTCTGCGAAAGTAAACGGCATTGATACAAATGTATCCTGCCTGTATTTCGCCGACAAGATTCTCATTACCATCACACAAGGGGGGAGATTGGGACAATGGGTTTGTTTCCCCACACCTCTTCACCAACTCACAAGTCATATAGCGAAGCGCATGCATTCCACTAACGCCTCACAGATGCAAGTCCCGCTCACATCCGCATCTCCCACATCGTACGATACGTCGATACCGCTCCCGTCAGCGGCGAATGAATCCGGAGATGCGTATGGAAATGGAAATGGAAATGGAAATATGTTACTCCCGCTTGAACACCTCACTCCGAGAACGTTGCTTGGTGCGGGGGGAGAGAAGAGAGAGAGGATTGGTCATTTGTATGCGAGTCAGATAGGGTCGATGATCTTGGGACGGGATCCGGAGGAGAGGAGGACGGTATTGGTGGGGTTGGGGTTGGAGCTGGGAGAGAAAGAGGCGAGGGAGGGGGAGAGGGAGGGGTATTTTGATTTGTTGGAGTTGGTTCAGGGGGTTTTGTGAGGGGGAATGGAGATTGAGGGTTAAGGAATGTGTGGGGGTAAGTTTTGAAGGGGTATTTCTGTGGGGGATGGAGGGTATACGCGATCGATATATCGAAATCATGCAGCGCATGAATGCGATAAGGAAATGCCAATATCGACCATACGGTCCTGGTCACTTGCAAAGCATGTCAACAACCGCACGAATAAACTTCTCCACAAGGCCTCCTCGCGCAACAAGTCGCACTCTGCTTTTACACGAACATTCGACTCTCCAATTACCATTTCCATCTCTCGACTCTTACCATCAAGAATCCCTCTATTCACTAGTAGAGCATATATGTCAAAACTCTGACATGTATGTGAACTCCGTGGATTGTCAATCTATGAAGTTCTGCGTAGGAACTTGATATCACGGGTACCTCCTACCTCTAGTGGAAGCTCGTAGATACGTCTGCGATATTTGGAATGGTCACATAAGCTCCGCGTGGTTGATGCGGGTCATTGGGGACTTGGTGATGCTCGTGACTTTTTAAAAAATATCTAGCAGACCACATGTATTGAAATGGCCATATCAGATGGAATTTCAGTATTTATTCAATAGACTAAATGCAATTTTTAACTATTGTGAAGATATAATCGATATATTATCTATGATGTGATAAATGGTCCTCCATATCCAAAATTATTTTGCAATAATAGAGGGATTGATCACAGTGTCTCCCATTTTCGAAAACTCGACATGAAGTCGTTTTGATACAATCTTAAGCCTTGACAACAACAGCACTGGGTGCTTTCGCCAGTGCAGCCTTCTCTTTGAACTCATCATTCTCCAATTTGAACCTAAGTTGACACCCTGATTTGTTAGCTGTGAAATTCTGAGAATGATTCGAATGATATGGATCTGAATACTTACAATCACCACAAGATATCGGTTCATATTTCGGAGGATTATTCTCATCAGTACAAGTAGAGATTACACCTTCGACACAATTGAAATTGAGTCCTATCACCATATTAGCACTCTCTTTCAGACATCCTGACGAGGAAAAGGAATCTTACCGAAGAAAAACGGCATGGAAATTCTCTCCACGGTTGCTCGGTTGTAAACTCGATGAACGGTACTCTTATACATATCATTGCAAAGTCTCATCATAAAATCGCCAATATTAACAACTATCGTTCCTTCCACTGGAACCGCCATGATCCATTGACCTTCTTTGTTTAATACTTGGAGACCGCCTATCATATCTTGCCAGAGGAGAGTAAAAAGTTGGAGATCGGTATGAGAACCGAGTCCTACACTGTTGTTTGATCTTTCGGCTTCGGTACTGGGCGGGTAGTAATTGTAGAGGCCATCTGCTCCTGGGTAGGTAACGCGGGAATCGAAATAGTCTTCTGGGAGGGAGAGACTGAGAGCGAAGACTCGGACGAGTTTGCGCGCGAGTGAGAGACAGGATTTCCAATAGGCGAGAGTGTCGGTTTTGAAATTGGGAAGATGCGAAGTTCCTTCCCAGACGAAGGGTTCGCCTCGGATCCAGGGTTTTACCTCCGAGGGGATGGATGAAAGGGGCTGGGGGTGATCTGGATCATTTTCGGGCTCGTAGCGCCAGGCAATCTGGGGATGTTAGTTTGGTGGAGATGAAAAGGGGGATAGAGGGGTTTCGGCTAGGGAGACAAACGGATTCTTTGACATCTACACTTTCTCCGGGGCTTATGTTTGAACTTTTTAATCCCATGTAGCCATTAAAGTAACGGGAATGACTTTTGTCTATCTTTGCTTTTTCTTCGTATGGCTGTTTGAAGAAACTGTTCTCCATGATTTTATATTAGCTTTTGTCCATCTGTTCGCTAATGATACTCGTTGCCTCCGATGTCCAGAAGAGAAGCACTGAGCATTGAGACAACTATTCTCAACCTCATTGCCTCTCCCGATTATCTTGTTTCTTCTTCCTCATCCACTCCCTTTCCACCCAATGACTCACCTCAAAGCCTGCTCTTTTGCCTTCTGAATAACTGTCTCTTCAATACCATGATTCTTCACATAAAAGAACCCCGTCCCCACCGCCGCAGCACGTACTTCTGCAGCTAATGCTTGACGATCGCTCAAATTAGGAGAATTTATATTCGAAAGATCAATGATAGGAATCTCTGTATCAGTGCAAGGACGAGGTGGTGTGTTGAGTACATCGCGATAGACAGGACCATAGGCTGTGCGCAGCTCCAGTTTTGTCGTTGTGGGGGGTGTGGAGGACATGGCGAGATTGTAATGTTGGTAAGTGATAGGTTGAAAAGATTGTAGGAAGGAGAGATACGAGAGGCGTTTAAAAGCTTGGTTTTGGAAGCAGAGAGACGATCAAGGGGATGGATAAATGATTAAAAGTATCTGTAGGTGAATGGTGGCTGACTGTACCCCGCCAAAACGGTCAGATGCGATAGTGAATTCGGAGGGTTCCGAGAAATGTAGTGAATTAATCTATTGAATGATTGTTATATATCATGTGTATATCCCAATGCAGATGTGTATGAATAAAAGATTCAAGCATTCCAAGACTCAACGTATATCTTCACAATTTATCTTTTTGGCCAGCGATAGGAGGGAGATTGATAACAGTCTTGGAAAAGATAAAAAATCACTTGGGAATCCCACTATCGCTTGATGCTTATCGCTCTCTCTTCTTAAGCTTATCGTAAATCTCCACTCTCAAGCCACTCTTCGCTCACTCCCGAGGTCTTCACTCTTCACTCTTCACTCTTCACAAGCTTCAATTGGATATTCTGACTTCAGACGATCTTAACCCCTGCATCGATCAAAAGTCACAGCTTTTACGAAATACCTACCTAGTACCTACTTATCTACGATACGAGGTACCTAGGTCGTAATATAACTCATCACGTGTAGAATAATAAATAGTAACACAGCATCAACATCAACATCAACATCAACATCAACATCAACATATCAACGTTTCATCTGTAACTATCCATTCGTATCACAACATTCCTTCATTTAAAACCCACGGCTACTCACATGTATTTCGATCTCACATAGTACCAAGATGTCAAACCCTCGTTTTCTCGTGCATATTTCCTGGCGGACAAGGTCTGGATGAGTCTGATGACAAGTTTGACATTGGCGTACATTGGCGCACACGAGCGTGTATGATTCTGCATTACCGAAATCCTCAATTGGAGTCTTGGGGTACAGTAGCTTCCAAGCTTTGGAGCCAAAGAGATACAATGTTTGGTTGGTTACATCTAATCTCAGAGCGGGGAACGACACCGTTTTATGCCATGCATGGCTGCGAGGAGCTACCATGACTGATAAAATTATGTTACATTGCAGATTTGTATCTTTTCTCCCTTGATGAGTTTCTGCAGGTACTTTTCTTTGGGAAGGAGAGTGGGTATGGTATGTATGGATTATGTGGTGAATTGAATGTTGGACTGATGTATTATCCATACTCAGCTCGATACTTATCTGGTGGGGGATTGGATGGGTAGTACATCTTTGTACCACCTGCTAGGTAGACCTAGAGAAATGTATATATTGACCTCATAGATGACATATCGACCAGTCTACTCTACCGTTAGTACCCGGTAGTCTCTGCTCTTCTTGCCTTCTATCCGTTTCTATTCTTCATTAAACTCAATACCACCAACAATACCAATACCAGTACCAGTACCAGTACCAATATCAACATCAACATCAACATCAACACCTACATCAACACCTACATCAACACCTACATCAACACCTACATCAACACCTACATCAACACCTACATCGATATCTCTATTGCGTGAACTAATCGCGTCCATCACGCATTCATTCTCAATATGGTTTCGAACCTCTTCGGTGTTCTACGGCGGAAACTGCGAAATCCACATTTCGAAGCAAAGGGAACCGCGAATGTTCATGGAAAGGACAATTGGTTAGATAATGATGATATTCGACCTTTAAAATTAGCCGATCGTACCTGGAACGTTTGGACTTATCTTACCTTTTGGTTTTCTGCAAGTAAGTCCTTCGATGCGATCATTGCGATTGATTATACGGATTTGAATTTGATACTGACATGTGTTGCGATAGCTTCGACGGTTTCAACATGGTATGCGGCTTCGAGTGCCCAAGCTTTGGGATTGAGTATGTGGGAATCGGTTCTGTGTGCTTTTGGTGGTCAATGTTTAATTGCTATTGTCATCGTATTCAATGGTAGATCGGGAGCTGTGTATCACATGTGAGTCTGAAATATTCTTGTTCCTGCCCTCTTTTGATTGGATGACACTTCCGATCGTCCAGCTTTGTATCCAACATCTTCTATTTGCATATCTTGACATTGGATGAATCTCTCCACTTCTCTCAGTAACCCTCAAGATCTCGCAAGTTCTCAATGTTTCACCTCCGCTGACAATACTTTCATCATTTAGTGGTTACCCTATACTAAACAGAGCGGCATTTGGTGTCTTCGGTGCATGGTGGCCTACTTTCAATCGTGCTGTGATGGCTATTGTTTGGAATGGTGTCAATGCGGTCCAAGGAGGCGAATGCATTTATGTTATGCTTCATACCCTCAGTCCACGTGTTGCCAACTTCAAGAATGTCATGGGAGAGGGATCGGCTCTTGATTCGGGCGGTATGCTTGGACTTGGAATCTTTTGGATTCTCACTTGCTGCTTTCTTATTATTCCTGTCCCAAAGGTTGGTCCCATTCAAGTACCAATTGCAATTGTCAGTACTAATACGAGAACAGATGAAAGGTCTTGTATACGCCAAACTTATCGTCTTTATCATTTCTGCGATTGCTATGTGCGCATGGACTTTGACCATGGCAGGTGGCATCGGACCTGTCGCTCGTCAACCAGGTACTGTCAAAGGTTCAGAACGTTCATGGCTTCTCGTACGATTCATACTTCTTGGAGCTGCAAATTGTGCCACATTTGCTTCCAACGCGGCCGATTTCCAACGTTATGCACGTAAACCAAACGATGTTATCTGGGGAAACTTAGTCGGATTTCCCATCTCCAATGTTCGTATTATTGCTTTGCTTTGCCGACATCACTCATTCGTTGACGCACCCCTACTAATTTATGCAATAGTTAATCGTATCTATCATCGGTAATCTAGTAAGCTCTTCGAGTCAAGTACTTTTCGGCGAAATCATCTGGTCTCCCCTTACATACCTTGACCAAATTCTTGAACGAACATATGATGGTCCAACTCGAGCTGGGTGCTTCTTCATCGCCGCTTGCTTCGCTTATTCCGCAATCTTCTCTTCGATCTTTGAAAATTCTATTCCAGCTGGAAATGATATCGCTGCTCTTTGTAAGTCAACAACTTTTTCTTTACTTCATCCCAAATCTCCCATATACGTTATCCAGATTGTTTCTAACAATTGTCTTCCTAGTCCCAAAATATATATCCATCCGTACCGGTTTCTTCATCTGCGCCGTCATCTCCATAGTAATTCAACCCTGGTACCTCCTCAAATCGGCCGTAATCTTCATCTCTTTCCTTGCCTCCTACCAAATTTTCCTCTCAGCCATCACCGGCGTTCTTCTTTGCCACTACTTCGTCATCGCCCGCGGTTTCCTAAAAATCCCAGATCTATACACCTCGGATAAAAAAGCCGCGTATCATTACAAAGGCGGCTGGAATTGGCGCGCGTATGCAGCATATATCATTGGTATCATACCTAACTTCTACGGCTTTCTGAATAACATGGGAGTTAAAGCTCCAATGGGTGTCACACGAGCATACTACTTTGCGTATCCGATTGGACTGTTTGTGAGTTTTCTGGTCTATTGGGGACTTTGCTGGTATTGGCCGGTGGAAGTTCAATATGCGCTTTCGGAGTGGAGAGAGGTTAAGGATTATGTGAGAGAGGAAGAGAGAACAGAGGGGGTGGCGAGTGGATGGGGAAGTATGGCGAGTAGAGAGGAAGCGGGAGAGGGAGCTGGAGGGACGCCGGAAAAAGATAACTCGAATGTGAGAGAGGAGAAAAATTGAGCGGGGGTGTAGGAGAAGAGTGGATGGTATACTCGTAAGATAGGTAAGTGATTGTTGCTTGGAAATGTTGGTGGTGTAGTAGAGAAATAGGGGAATGCTATATATGTAAAATCTTACGTATCTGTATACATGTATACATGTATGTATGTATAATTCATATGATCCGAAACACTACACATATTACATCGTATTATATTTATTAATTCTCCTCGATGCAATTTACCCAGGTAACAATACTAATACCTATTTAAGCTTCACACGTTAATTTCCTGACAAGGTATCTTCTATCGTACACTTACCGTAATTACCTACCTAGTAGAATATAAAACACACTACCTAGGTATCTAATATCGCTTACCCGAAATATACCCGCCATTATGAATCCATCAACTTCGGTTTACGAATCGATTTGTTAGTGAGCATAGCAATCCAAATGGATATATAAATCTAGACTGTGTATCTAGTGTTTATGTAAAGAAATTGTGAGATGGTAGTGGGATTGGGATTGGGATTGGGAAAATCCCTCGATGAAAAAAATATTGGAGTTGCTTATGTTACCTGGGATAATGATGAGGCAAAGAGAGTAGAGAAGTACTCTGTAGATGGATTGGATAGATGATCTATAATTCATATACTGTGTCTTCTCGTTCCGAAGTATTTACTTTATTTACTTGATTGATGGGTTGTGTTTATTGATGGTTTAATGATGGTGTATGAAGTTGTGTATGAAGTTGTATATGAAGTTGTATATGAAGTTGTATATGAAGTTGTATATGAAGTTGTATATGAAGTTGTATATGAAGTTGTATATGAAGTTGTATATGAAGTTGTATATGAAGTTGTATATGAAGTTGTATAGTATAGTATTATTAATTTCTAAATAGATGTATGGAGATGGAGATAAAGATGTGATATATTAATAGTCTAGTATGTGTATTAACCCTCGAGGCATTTGGTCATATGATTTTTAATAGCTTTGCTAAAAGGGTTTAGTCAGCCGTTTTTTAAATATATTAAACTACATTATATTTTAATCTTTATTTTAAACTTCATTCAATTCCCAATCCATTAGCAATAGAAATAGCTTAATAAAACTTATACAAATAAAAACCTTATAAATTCTCTTTTGAAATTATAAAAAATTATTAATTTAATTCAATTTCTAATAAAATTATAAATTAATTAACAAAATGATTTTGATACCACAATAATAAGCGAAATATCATTTTTTAATCTCCTTTTATTATAATATAATTAGTAATCTTTAATAAAATTCTATGAAATTTACACCTTATATTATTCTTATTTCAAAAAATCTTTATTTTGATTTATGATTCTAAAATCCAGAATTGAAAAATGTATATTTGAATATCAAAAAGATAAATAAAAATAAATCTTTATTATAAAGATTTAAACTATTCCCTTAATAAAATAATAGAATATTATATATTAATCTAATTATAATGAGTTCTCTTTATTTATTAAATTTTTTAGATTATTTTTAAATATTTTATTTAAAAAGTTATAAAATAAATATTATTAAAATGTAGTATATTTTGAGAGATTTAGGAAACGGCTGACTAAACCCTTTGAGAGGACCTTGTGTATATCAGTTAATCAAAAAAGCGAAAGGTCTAGAAGTGGGTCGATGTATATACCAGACTAATATATTAAGGGGTTAGTTTAACTTCGTCTTGGTAAAGATACGGATAGATGATTAAGCTTGGGAGTTGGGAGTTGGGAGTGGGAATATATGGATATGGATATGGATATGTATGTATTCTGGATGTTGCTAAGAGAATAGATGTGCAATAATGTGAAGGGATGGATAGATGGATGGATAGATGGATGGATGGATGGATGAAATGGTTTAGCGGTGGGTGGTTAGCGTGGGAGGGAGGTCGGGAATGAAATGGTGTCGGGTGGGTTGGTAAATGCTGGAGGTGGATGGTGGAGGAAAGTGGATGGATGGATGGATGTGTGGCTGTTGGTTCTAGAATTACCTAACAGGGAGGCTCGGAGGGATGAAGGAAGACCTCGGGAGGGAGGAGAAAAGCTTGAACTCAAAACAAAACTTTGTGGATCGGTGGAGTCGTGACGCCACTAGAGATATAGATGTGCAACAAATGTATCTGTCTCTCTAGGATTGATTTCGATCCGCTGTGCATATTTGGTAAGGGGTTAGATGTGGTTGGGGGTGCAGGTGAGGTTGGATGTAGATGAGTGTGGCACGGCTTCAGCGGATGCGGATGCGAGACGCCGGACTAGACTGGGGGTTGAGGGTGGGACTTGGGATTTCGGATACGAAGGAGACGCCACTAGAGATGTAGATGTGCAACATTTTGATTTTCGGGTGTAGACCTGGGTAAGGTGAAGCTTTTATTTGATGGGGTCTGAGAATGGATGGTTGTGGATGGATGTGGTTGTGGATGGATGTGGATATTAGTTGAACAACTTCAAAGCCTATTTAGATTGAATGAATGGATGAATTAAAGGGGTTGAGAATTGAGCACCGAAGATTAAAGATGAGAATAGAACGCCACTAGAAAACGAGACGTGCAACAAAACACACACAATCCAATCTAAATGGTAAATTACAATCTTCTCTCCCTGCGCGCTGTGAGCATTGCGGTTAGATCACGTACGGTGCAGAGACAACGGTCGTGGAGTGGTGTGGTGTGGTGGCTAATCCGCCAGTGAAACGCCCGACAACTCGCTAGTTCAACAGGGGCGTTTAGGTATTTAAGATTTGACATAAAACGAAGCGGATGCATGACGCCACTAGAGATGTAGATGTGCAACAGACAGAGGGAGTGGTGGGAGTGGTGTGCAGGTAGGTATTTATTTTATTCCTGGTGGGTGTGATGGTTTCGGTAGATGTAGAACTATTTGGGTCGGTAAGGTAATAGAGTGTACCTAGGGATGGACAAAGGTGGCACAGTCTATGCAGATTGTCGGTGTTGGGTGGCTGATGCGAGACGCCGACCTCTTGTGTTGCGTGCGATTGTGTGTGTAAAGACATCCATCAGCAAGATGCGAAAATCTCAAGATCAAGACGCCACTAAAAAACAAGACGTGCAACAAAAGCATTCTCCTCTCCCCTTTCTAAATCAAAATAGTTAGTTAGTTCACACTTCCAACTCCTTTTACTAAAAGAGTGGATCCGTCATCCGGTGCCACAGAAAATTGGTGGTGGCGGCGACGATGCAAAATCCCGGCTGTCGTGAGATTTTGCAAGGGATTTTGAGGGACTAAGATTGAACTATCTGGCAATGGTTTGCAAACCCTGAACGCCACTAAAAATGCAGATGTGCAACAAATGCGCAATGTGGATGTTGAGAGTGAATCTAGTGTGGTTTCTTCCTTGCAGTACAAATTTAAAAGGATGTGGTGGCTTTAATGCGAGACGCTGGTTGCGCGGTGCTTGGAGCCTTTTGGCGACTAAAGTTGAGAAGCGAAGTGAGGATGGGGTTGTGGATTGTTAATTGTTGGACTATTATGAAAAGGGGATTTCCTCATGTTGGTATATGATCAGGAGTACCTAGTATTCGGATTGACAGATAGAATTTTAGCAATTATTAATAGCTATCTTCAACAAATAAACTCCTCATTATCTTCATATAACAATTTATCCCTTTCTCTCTCCCCCAAAGATCCTAATACTCTTCTCATTCACATCCCCCAAACGCTAAAATCAACACCAATGCACACCCATTACTCGTACAACAACTAACTCGCCTAGCTTTTCTAGCCCGTTTAACCTATGTAGCCTTGTATCCCAGCGTGCTACCCTTTCAATGACCAAAAATAGATTCATAGGGATGAAGCATGTAGAATCTGGGTCGTGCCGCCGCGGGACGTTTACGCTCATTTGATAAAACGAACCGTTGTTTGCGATTTGGTGAGTTTGGATGAAATGGTTAGGTGAAACGCACTAGACGCGCTGTGCCACGGCCACAGGCGAGGTAGCTTGGTTATGCAGATATGTAGGTGTGCATAATTTTGTGCAGAGATATGAATGCTTACCTAGGTAAACGTGATAGGAGTGAAATCAAAGTTTTATTATGTTATTAGAAGCTGGATAAATAAACACATGTGCGATTCTAAAACCAAAGAATCAAGACAACGGTAACTATAAACTTGTAATGTACTCTCATAACCCCAACGAAAGGTAACTCAACACGATTCATACCCCACCCTTTCCCTCCAATCCCTCGAGTCATCCCATATTTCCTTTCTTATGCTTGCTAGCCTTATCAACAACATCGAAGCATCGGATTCCTCCCACATTAGCTTCAACATTAGCTTTCAGCAATATGCCCTCTATATATCCATGCCCCCAATCCATGCCGTCCACACAATCTCATGCGCATAAATCCTCACCAGTAATCCCAACACCACAGCCAACTTAGCTTCCACACAACACCACCCTAAAACAACTAGACAGGGTAAACTGGCTATAGCTGCACACTTGTCAGCATGCTAATTCCTTCTAAACTATACTTGGTCTTCGCTCAGCAGATACTTGCATTAATTAACAGAAAATGAAACGTTTTGTTGCACGTCTTGATTTTTAGTTTGGTTGGGAAGGTGTGTGAAAGTTGTACTTGTGGGTGCTTTGCATTTAAGTTAGGTTGGTGGTTATGAATGGGAGCAGATGATATGTATATGATGTGATTATTTCTTCATTGTATCGTTATTATATGAGTTTGTCCGATTCTATTACTTTGTTCGGTATTGGTATATCCTCCATAACGCCTTGAAACCCTTATATGTAGGTGATGTACTCTACAACTGGTCCGTATCTGAAACCTTTGTCCATTCTATGTAGGACTCACCCCTCCATTCATCACTTTACTCTTTCTTCTTTTAGGTTTTCCTGATCCTGGAGTTCTAGGGCTCTTCTCTCCCTTATTTCCTTTCTTTGGCATGCCCAAATCTGTTTTTAAGGGAGTAGGAGGTGCAGGTTTACCACTCAGGCCAAAGCCTGCTGGTTTTGATGTTGGTGGTACCATAAGCTTTTCTTTTTCCTTTCGACCGGTTGTGCTAAAATGGAAATCACCTGGAGTTCCGGTAATAGGATTCTCATCCATATATTCATCGCCATATCTGAGCGATATGTTAAGAGTTTCTTCAAGAAGATGATTTGCGAGTACGTTGTTGGAGATATTTGTGGAGGGATTCTTGGCTTCAGTTGCAAGGGAATCGGGCAATGGTGTATTCTCTTTGGAAGCCTGAGAGAAAGCTGATGCGATGGCTTTTGCTCGAGGTGGAACTGGTGGCATATATGTATGACCGAGAGAGGGAGAAAAATTGGGTAATTCGGATGCTTTCGAAATGGCATTGGTGAGTGAGGTGAAGATTGATAACTGCATTGCTATTAGCGACAATAAATTTGAATTGGAAAATTATCAATACCATTCTACTGCCCAGTACATCTGCGACAGTAGGAGCCATATAAATATTCTCTCCCACTACAAAATACGATGCATGTTTTGTAATTTCATCGTCGTCTTGAGCTCTCTTTCTTCTCGTTTGCTTGCTAATTACCCATACTCCAGTGCCAGTACCCGGGGCCATCTCTGCAGGTTCTTGCGCAACTAAAAATTCCAGTCCAGACATAGTTTTGAGTCGGCTCTCAAAAGCACTACGAGTGCCAAGGATGTACATCATGTTTGGATTGAGCGAAGCTTGAGTCGTCAGGACTGCATTATTCGAGGTGGGATCAAAAAATGGTGACTGCGCAAAGTAATGAAGAACGGTATTTTCATGAAGACCTGAATTCCCAGCAAGCCACATTGGATGGCTCCATTGTATCTCATCAAGAGGGGGGTCTTGCGGTGCCATGTTTATGATGTGATAGAAGGTAGAGAGATGCTGTTAAGTATGCGAGAGGTCGCAAAACAATTCAAGAATCCGATGATCTGAATGGACTTGACTACTAGGTAGGTATCGAGAGTTGTTGTGTATGCGATGTCGCGATGCAAAGGTTAAGTAGTCAATTCTATTGATGCATTGATGTACTGATGTATTGATGTATTGGTGTATTGAGAATAGTAGATCTGCCGTATGCGCCGTATCTGAGAATCATTCAGATGGGTATTGTATTAAGGACCGTACGTACGGAACCTCAATGGTAATGGATTTGTATTTATCGACAAATGGTGACGGAAGATACCGAGAAGCTGGAGGGATGGTAGCGGCCGCTAGTGCAATGGATAGCCATGACGTTGATCATCTGGTCCAGATTGATATTCGATAGTCCCGGATGGAGTCCTCGAGTATCAAATCCAACAGCTAATCATAAATCATTGATTTCACCGTGTATTTCAAGAAAGGTCAAGCTCTCATGAGACCTATTCAAAGCACAACAAATTACATTATACTTCAATAGCCGATCATATATTCTCATGAATCATGGTATGGTTCTCGTGGACCAGTCATTGAGCTGCAAGTCTGTCTTAGGAGGCTACTATTGTTGCAGCATACGATTCCTGTACAATCTTATATGTCGAGGGTCTTCCTGACCCGTCAGATCCCACATATCCTCGAGACATCTCGAGATCTCAAGTGACGACCAAGAGACTATATGGAGTACATGACAGAAGACAAAAGGGTAGTACGAGAAAGCCTCTAGGATGCTTGCTGTGGAAAGAGAACCTCGGGTTGCTTTTTGATTTCCAGCTCTTCTTGCTTTTCCGGTTGTTTCGCCAATCACTAACATAAATATCTACATCTCATATAGTTGATGCTCGATTTGGAGGAGAAAAGAGACCGAATGAATCACGACTAAAGCCATCAACTTTCATAGAACCAAACGCCACTTGACCTGGATTGGAAAGGAACAGCTGGACTATTGTAGGGCTTCACTATAAGGGTCAATTCTGACTCGACTTTTCTATGTAATTCACATATCACATATCACTTGCATTGTGCTTTTTTCTCCTTTCAGCTCTTCAGCTCTTGAATAATGTATGATTACTAGAAAGATTGAACGATTCGCTTTTCCTTCTACTCTGTTTTATTATTCATTACACTTTTCTTATACCTATCATCTGGCTAATGAATATAATACTTTCTCAAATTTTAGTGATAATGATATATATCGAATCCAGATTGCATGTAATCATCCCAAAACTTGGGATCTTACACACTTGTCATCTAGTGAGGGGAGAGTTGCTTCTCAGAAAATTGAATATTATGATAAAAATGTCGAGCTTTTCAGGCAATAAAATTCCCCGGTGAGCTCTTTCGAGGATTTCCTCGGATTGCCTTGGCCCCGCATTTCATTGATTAAAGATTGAAGGGCGGTGGGCGATTCGGCAGAAAAAAGTTCCCGACTAGAATCTCACAAGCACAGAAAAAACATAATTCTCGCAACAAATTGTCTACATTCAATCAGTGGATTGAAAATAGCCAAATATGCCTCCTAAATTTACGCCTCGACAGCGAAAGCATAAAGTGCTTGCGAGAAATAAAGTCAATGATTCCGAGGCACCTGTGGACTCCAACGCGACAGAGATCCTCCCCTCCTCGAAAGCCGCACATGAAGAAAAGAAGCAGAAATTGAAGGCAGAGCTCGCAGGGGAGAATAAGATTAGTGGGAAAAAAGCGAAAAGATTGGAGAAATACATCGAGACGAAGCTGAGGAAGGATGAAAATAGGATATTAATCGAAAAGCTATCAAAGAAGAAAGAAGAGGGAGGATTGTATGAGAGTAGCAAGAAATTAGGTCAGGGTTCATTAACCAGGAGAGAAAGATTGGCGCGAGCGCTGAAGGAGAGGGAGAGAGGCATTGATATCGATGGAGATGGAGAAGAACTGCTGTTCGAAAAGAGGACGGTTAGGGAGATGGAAAGCGAAAGTAGTGAAGAGGATGACGATGAAATCGATCAAAAGAAGGAGGGCGGTCTTTTCCAGGGTACTGCGACTGCGACATCTTCCGCCCCGACACCAAAAGTGTCCGCGCAAACATTACAATTTGGTGTAGGCACAGGTTTAAAGAGACCACTCGAGGTGGATGATGACGGAAAGCCGGTAATAAAAAAGCGACAAAGGCGAGGAGGTGTTAAGTCGAGGATATCATCGAAGCCACAGGCGCCGGCCGCGGAACCGGCATGGGAAGGATTTTCTTCGAATTCAGAGGTTGATAGTGATGAAGAGATGAAATCAGATGAGGATTCTGACAATTCGAATACGCCAGATGAGACAGATGACAAAAAACGTGCAGAGTTATTGAAGCGTCTTACGGGAATTTTTGCCGAAGGTGGTGATGGGATCGACTCGGACGATAGCAGTGAGGAAGGATCTTCGAATGAGGACAGTAATGAAGACAGCGATGATGAAGACGATGAAGAAAGCGATGAGACAAGTGACCCCGAACACGCCCAGCTACTAAAGAACATTATGTCCATTTTCGAAGAAAGTAAAGAGGGGGCCCTTCAATCAGCGCTTGGAAACGATAAAGAAGAGAACAATGAAGAAGGATCGCCAGACGAAGACAGCGATGAAGATGATAGCGAAGAGAGTAGTGAAGAGGAAGATGAGGACGAGGCTGCCTCGAGGAAACAGGAACGCTCATCTGCGTTCAAAGCCTGGGCAACTCAACAAGTAAACGAAGCTTATGGATACGAACCATCATCAAATATTCCAATTGCGATAGAAACGCCAAGAATAGAAGGGTTCGAACCTCGGCCTCTAGAACAGGATCCTTTACCAGTGGAATTACAACCAACTACCAATCTTTCACGGAAGGCATTTAGTGTTTCGATAGAAAGACCTTCAAGTATTCAAGATGTCAGACTCAAACTCCCAGTCGTAGCCGAAGAGCAGAAAATTATGGAAGCAATTCATAACAATAACTTAGTGGTTGTGTATGGTGCTACAGGTTCCGGAAAAACCACTCAAGTACCACAATTCTTATACGAAGCTGGCTATGGTACTAAAGATTCACCCAATCCTGGAATGATTGGAGTTACACAACCTCGAAGAGTTGCAGCCGTCAGTATGGCAAAACGTGTAGGTGATGAGCTTGCTGATCATGGTAAGCGAGTCGCCTATCAAATTCGATTCGAGGGAACAGTAAGTTCAGAAACTGCTATCAAATTCATGACGGATGGTGTACTTTTGAGAGAGGTTGCCCAAGATATTGCTCTGAGAAAATACTCCGCCATTGTTATTGATGAAGCTCACGAGAGGAGCGTGAATACCGATATTCTTATTGGTATGCTCAGTCGAGTGGTAAAGTTGAGAGAGGAAATGGCTGAAGAAGATCCGTCTATCAAACCATTGAAACTTATTATCATGTCCGCTACTCTACGAATTACAGATTTTACAGAGAACAAGACATTATTTTCTACTCCACCACCGGTACTTCAAGCAGAGGGTAGACAATACCCGGTCACTACTCATTTCGCCCGAAAGACTCATCATGATTATGTCGAAGAAGCATTCAGAAAGATTAGCAAAGGACATCGCAAACTTCCCCCAGGAGGAATTTTGGTATTCTTAACTGGTCAGAATGAAATCACACATCTCAGCAAAAAGTTGAAAGAAGCTTTTAAAATAGGCTCTACTACCACAGGACCACAAGTTCGCATATCCGGAAAAGATGCACCTATGGAAGCTGAAGATATCGATTTTGGTGAAACTATGGACACGTCCAATGACGATTATGTCGATGATGATGACGAAGTTACGTTTAATGATGATGAAGATTTTGATATCGGAGAAGAAGCAGATACTGGCCCTTCAAAGATGCACATATTACCATTGTATTCCTTACTGCCTACGAAAGAACAGTTGAGAGTTTTCGAACCACCCCCAGATGGTTCACGGTTGATTGTATTGGCCACTAACGTTGCTGAAACATCTCTTACAATCCCTGGTATTCGTTATGTTTTCGATTGTGGAAGATCAAAAGAACGCAAATACGATAAAACAACTGGTGTACAAAGTTTTGAGGTCGGATGGATTAGCAAAGCCAGTGCAAGCCAACGTGCAGGTCGTGCTGGACGTACTGGTCCTGGACATTGTTATCGATTTTATTCATCAGCTGTTTATGAGAGAGATTTTGAAGAATTCGCGGAGCCGGAAATATTACGAATGCCTATCGAAGGTGTGGTTTTACAACTCAAGTCCATGAATTTGCAACACGTTGTCAATTTCCCATTCCCAACTCCTCCAGATAGACAAAGTCTTGCGAGCTCCGAAAAACTTCTCACTTACCTCTCTGCAATCTCTCCTTCTGGTCAAATAACCCCAACTGGTTCTATCATGTCTATCTTTCCACTTTCACCACGATTTGCTCGTATCCTTTTAGTAGGACATTTACACGATTGCCTTCCCTACACCATCGCTCTTGTAGCAGGTCTCTCTGCTGCCGATATATTTATTCCCGAAAACCAAGTCATTCCCGCCGCTACTCCCCGTGAGGATGAAGACTCATACCTCACTACCGCCGAAAAAATCGAACAAGACGCACGTGCAAATCTCCGTCGTCAATTCAACAAAGTTCACCAATCTTTCTGTTTCCTTGACGATAGATCAGATGCCATCAAACTCCTTCAAGCTGTTGGTGAATTTGCCCACGAACCCACAGAGTCATGGTGTGCATCTCACTACGTACGCTACAAGACTCTCAAGGAAATCTCGCAATTGCGTCGTCAAATCACAGATCTTTTGAGAACCAATATTCCCGCATTCGCAGCTTTGAAATATGAAGAAAAACTAGCGCCGCCCACTGCTAAACAAGTCAAAGCACTCAAGCAAATGGTTGCTGCAGGGTTCATCGATCATGTCGCAATCCGAGCAGATCTATCCCCGACACAACCCGAAGCTTACAGGAAACCCAAGAGAGCAATCGACGTTCCTTACATTACACTCTTCCCCTCCCATCTCCGTGTTCCTAACAAACACAACGATGAAGATCAAGAACAAGACAAAGCAGTCTATATCCACCCTGCGTCTCCTTTATCTCATCTCTCGCCAAACGAATGTCCTGAATATATTATCTACTCGTATTTGCAGAAACCGGCTGAGGATGTCAATGCAGATGGATCGAGAAAGAGACAGAAGACTCGAATGCATAGTTTGACGGATGTTACTGGAGGACAACTTGCGGGCTTGGCCAAAGGGACAAGTTTGTTGGAGTATGGAAAACCGATTAAGGAAGTGATGGTTAAGGATAAGAAGACGGGGAAGGATGCGGGTGCAGAGGAAATGAGAGAGTGTTGGGTGGTGCCTTATTTGAGAGCAGAGGGGACGGGTGGTCTCGGTTGGCCATTGCCGGCTAGGAAGGTAGTGCAGAGGAAGGTTAAAGGGAAGGGATGGGTTGTTGAGTAAATAGATAGATACCTAAATTATTGTTGTTTTTGAGGGAGAGTGCAATCTCTATAGAGTTAGTTGAATAGAATATTGTTTATCTAATTGATTTAATGGGAGATGAATCACTATGTGAATTTTGCACAATAAATGTGAAGTATGTGTGGTATTTGGAAAATTGGTACTCGCGCGTAACAAGTTATCCTTGAGAAAAAGTCGCTTTGCTGTGCTACTATACCATAGGTAAATGTAGATGATCGTGTGGGTGCCTATAAGGTTACATAGCAGGGTTGTAAATCCGACTTGACGGTCGTATCCACATCGTGACTTACCCAGCAGAGAGAGCTAACTTCTTGACAATCATATGGATATCATATGGACATCGTATGAACGAATTATCATATTATCTAGAGAATATGAGCCTGAAACTTGGGAACGTAGGATACTCTCTAGATCACTGTGAGTTTGGTCCGGGCGAGAGGGCTCTCGCTCGCCCCCCCACCTTTCTCTTCTCGTTTAGTATTCGAAGAGTGTGTGATTGACGTCATTATCATTTTTTAATCAGAGCGCTTCAATTGTTGTTAGTTAGACAGAGCGCTTGGTTCTCTAGTTCATGGGAGACTCGAATGATATATACCAAGTTTGGGTTTGCCTCTCAATACTTGGGTAGGTACTTACAATCACTCAATTCTGATATATAAGATACTCTTCGGTAAGTAGGGATCAAGATAAGAGAAACGAAGAGATTTTTGAATCTTTTTGAACTCGATTGTTTTGATTGTGGTTGATTCATTAAGTCGTTTGATTGATTGGAAGTTCGTAGTGTCAACCTATGTGAGTCAGTCGTCAAATTGCCGAGATGTGGTAGGCTAGATACGCTCTGGAAACGTCTCGCTGCTACTTGTTTGGTACTTCGTGCTAATAGCAACGTTTTTAAGGACGATTCGAATGTTTGCTGTCTCTGTGATTTATAGCGGTCGATGTGAATCAAGTAGTTGATTAACTTACAGATCACAGCTGTTTTGCAACATTGTGTATAGTAATTTGACCATTGCATTGTTGTGGTGGTGGCCATGTTGAATAGATAGATTCTATGTATCTTTCTCCGACTTTTTCTTGGTCGAGTTGTTCTTTGACGAGAGAATGAGAGGAAAGAAACAATGCATCCGTGTTGTTCTTTCCTTCTTGGAAAGTGTTAGATGCAGAGCAAATACGAATTATGTGTTGTTCTAACATTGTGCTCTCCAAGGCCTAGTCTGTCACAGATTGAAAGGGTTTCCTTTTCCATATTAAATAATGGACATAATTGGTTATTGGACCTCCATACCCCGTTGTCACCGGATAGACTAAAGTTTAGATCGCTAGCCCCGGCGATGATTCCGCCAAGGTTGCCTGGGTAGTTGATGAATGGGGCGCAATAAGCCTCAATACACTTTTGTACGCCCACTCCATCTAATCATTATCTAATCACCCTGGATTTTACCATCTTATGGGACATCCAATAGAAAATGGATACGAGCCACATTATACGTGTATACCGTACCATACATGTGGCTTGTCTTGGGAAAAGCCCGCGGGTGGCCTAATAATAGTCGGCTCTCGTCAGTGGCCGACTAGAAACGGTCAATATGTTGGGATAATTTCCGTTGGGGGTGAAATGGGTAGATCAAATTGATTGGGAAGAACAAAATAAGATCCGCTGATGAGGACTAGCTTTGTTCGAGAATTAGACCCCAAAGTACCTATTCCTTTGCATTTGATAAAAATCAATTAATTTGGAAGGTGGTTTGACAGAGAACTCTTCGAAATGATAGGATGGTTTATGTAAAAATGGTTGAATTACAATTGAAAATAGCGAGGCTTTGATTTTGACGTCGGTGAAGTTTTAGCGACGGTGAGGTGAAAATTCATGGTGATCTTCATTCCATAGAAGGTTCCCTTTCAATCTACATCCTTTTTCTGCGCACCTACAAGAATTCTACACCAACCACAGATGAACAACCCAATCTGAATAGACCGAAACAACTATTACCTTTTGATTATCCTGAACCAGATCTCATAGTACTGACCTTTGGTATATTTCACATCACATCTGGAGATGGAAGAAATTATAGATAAACAAGCCTAAATGTTCTCTACCTGAGTCCCAAAGAATAGATAAGGATCTAATTCACGCAAACCATTTCTCCATTTGGAGTTTTCGAAGTCTTGTATCATGTCTGAACAGCTCAGCTCATCAAATTCTCCAGGTATTAGGTATATGTCTAACTAATAGTGACTGTAGTGATTGGACATACGTTTTCGTCCATACAAAATCTCCAAACAGAAAAGAAATTATTCTATTGTGGAGCCTGAGGTCTTAAAATCGGAAGTATGCCCTTCTTTGGACCTGAAACAGCGAGGTAAGAAAATTTCTGGACCAATAACTTCCTCCTAGTGTTGGTCGGCGGCAAGGTGTTTTGTTTTGATTAAGGTTATGATCAGACCACGTCTTCGTGCATTGGATTGCAGAACATTTTGACGTTTCAAGCCTGCCGAAGAATTTAAAAAAAATCTGATGCGATGCATTGCATGCCTAGGAACGAGTTTTTCTGGGTGCTTTTCCCCAATCACATGGAAGACAGTTTATTCATATAATATAGATAAAATAAACATTTCCCAATAGCAAGCCTCGCGGGTGACAGACAAGACGACTATTGGTTTGAGAGGGATCCAGATGACGTAGAATCTAAAATGTAGGCTCTGGTTGTCAGTGTGTATTCTTTCTAACGGAGCTAGCTAAGTACAAGAAGAAGCAAGCCTTAAATAGGCCTTGCTATGAGACTAGCTCCTTTGTTGTAGCTTATGAATGACCTAAGGCCATTCATCCAATCTTTGTTTAACATCCCGGTAAACAACTTCATTTCGCCACCACAATCTTGATACAGTTCTAGACCACTGATTCCATCACCGATGAATCAGCATACCTCAGTAGTCACTATGTGGCTTCTCGTATCACTCGACCTCCAACTAACCATTATGGAGACTTAGCTTTGAGGGGAATTGATCAATCAATCCCTAAGGTCCCATTGGATGGGAGGGCGACAATACCTCCCGAACAGACATCCTGGAACTGGCGGGGTTTGCCGACTACTCACACCGACTATTTTCTTATAATCGGCAGTAGCTTTCAGAAAATTCCCTCATAGCATACGTACCTGCATTCAAAGAACCTAAGGTTGATAGGGTATGGTTGATGTATTGTGTAAATTGAAAACATCTTCATTCTCTACTAGAGAAGTCTTGCACTCGACCTACGAGAACTGATACTGCAGATTGGTAAGAAAAAGGGGTGACTTATGAAACTTGGCTGTTGTCACGGAGTAGGTGTTTCCTCAAGTCTCTGAAAGATTTGTAGGTAGAACGAGATGACGACGACATTGGCAATCCAAATTGCAGACCCAGGTCACTCGTTTCCGCAACTGTTTATCACTCAAATGCCGTCGAAATGGTCTGAATCATTTGAATGGAATCTGTTTTTTTTTTTAAAAAAAAAACAACCAAAAAAAAACAAAGTGTATGAAAGTCTGCAATGCTCGTTTCCAACACACAGAGCTCGTATTTACTTTTAGAACTGTGATTTTTGTTCTCGGGATATGGATTGGTGTGTTGAGCGTTCTCCTTTCCCTCTGACCCATTTCTCTTTTTGATACTGATCAGCCAGAAATGGAAACCCGAAGCAAAGAAAAACAGATCAGTCCTCATGTAGTATGTGCATCTAGCGTCATTCGAATAAACTTTTGCCGTACGAGTATTCTTCTAATCGCCAGTTGTTATGCCACTATATATATTAGCATATCCCAACCATTCCTCCTTCACTCTTAAACTCTTTCACATCTCCAAATCATTACAGTTAAGATCGAAGAATAACTCCACTTTCTTTTTCTCCCACGACTCACTCCAAAAGATCTCAACGCTAGCTTCATCAAGATGTCTATCCTGTCCATAGAGGTCCCAGCGATGGAAGATTACGGAAGAGGTGATATTGGAATAGTGCTTGAACCTGTTGTTGAAGTGAGTTGATTTGCATCTCGTTTTTGATTATCTCAAACTAATGGTCAAAGCCAAACAACACTTCCAACAACATGTCTACCCTTTCCATCGAAGTCCCAGTGATGGAAGATTATGGAAGAGGTGATATTGGAACAGTTGAGGAGACTGACACTAAAGTAAGCTGATCTGCATTCTGTTTTTGAGTATCTCGAACTAATAGTCAAAGCCGGATACTAGTTCCAGCAACGTGTCTACCCTTTCCGTTGAGGTCCCAGCGATAGAAGCCTGCACAACAGGTACTATCGGTACGGTAGATGAACCTGTCATTGAAGTGAGTTGATCTGCATCTCGTCTTCAATTACCTCGAACTAATTGTCAAAGTTCCCCAAACCCCACTCCCGCTTCGCGTAGCTTTATGATGATTCTGCCACGACCTAAAAGTTTGTTAGTCCGTCACGGCAAGTACTTCCTTCCAAACAGCTTGGTGTATCGCACTCCTACTTGAGCTTGGCCAGATCCGCATCAACCATAGAGCTCGAAACTTTGGTGGGGCACAACACAACAATACTCGTCGGGCGGCGCGCATGATAGGTGTAACTGTACTAGAAGGGATTGGACGGGTTGACTGTAACATTCTGCGGGAGTAGGAATAGATAAGGGAAAGGAATAAACGATAGAGATAGAGCTTTCACACATTACTAGATAAGAATCTCTCAAGGGAACATCATCTTTCATACCTCTTAGGTGCTATATCTCGAATAAATAACTTTTCAGTGAAGAGGCAACTTCTAGCGAAGATGTCGCTAGTTATGAAACTTCCTCTTGAATATCCATCGGAGTTTTATATGAGAAGATGTGTCTGTGGATGATGTGCTTGAATAATACATCTGACCTTTTTTTAACAAACCCAGCACTGCTTGGGAAGTTATTAATGTTCTGTCATAGACAAGTGTTTCCATGAGCTAAAATCTGTTCTGCAATTGTAGTATAGAAATTGTGATGAAGGCACCCAGTAGGGAAGTTGCCATGACGAGAGAAAGCTTTCGAGATATCTTCAGAATTGAAAGTCGAGAGATGGCAAACTTAGCACCAGGTAGCCGCGGCATGTGCGACTGAGACTTTTAAATAACAACAGCGGAGAGATGCTATCCTTGTCGAAAGTATTATCTACCAATGCAGAACGATTGGAAATGTATAGATAACGGCCGGACACGTCATTGAAGCGATCAGAATGGAAGCCAAAGCGATGGCGTATTTCCCCCTTGCCCCACCCTTTACTTGTATCTGACTGGAATACTCAATTCAAGTCGTCACAATCAGATGATTCGTCGAGCATACTGTCGCTTAGAACCTTCTCAACTGGGATCGATATTGTTTCGATGGAGAGATCAAAACAGCGTATCGAGGTGGCAGATGGACAGTAGTTCTGTTGGATATCGAGGAGGAATTCGTACAAGGTACCGCGCTTATGGGTGCGCGTTTCTCGAGTATGGTTGAGGTGTGAGAGTTTCAATCGCATTATGCGATAGGGGAGAGTAAGAAGATGGGTTGACGTTACGCGATTATCGACACAATCAATGTTTCGATGATCTCTGGATCGTGAATACCTGTGTTGTGTTGCTTTCGTGGTAATGTGAGGTTCAAATTCCCGAGGTGACATGAGAATCCTCGCTGAGCCTCATCACATGTATCTGTCGCACAATACTTCTCTGTTGTACGAAGCAAGGCTTCATGTGCCACTTCGAAAAATTCGATGGTTAGAAGGAATCGCTGACCTGACGTTGCTCTTCCCTTCTTATCTTGAGAGGTAATGAAGATTCCGGGGACGCTAGGTGTCATTCAAGTAGTACTTGAAATTTTGATCACGCGGCTTGAATGGTAGAATTTTTTCAACCCTTAAATGTTGCTGTCCTTGTGTGCCAACTCTTTTCAAAATTGGCAAAAATGCCATCATCGAGGCTATAGTATTGATGCGGGGTTTCGCCCTCGTATCGGTGGATGGGGTAAAACAATATCGATGCTCGCAGCTTACAGCTCAGATGCATAAGAGGGGAAGAACAATGTGATGATACATAATGATTGTCCAGTCATTGAATGATGTTCGACAACACCAGAAGCATCTTCGTCCGGTTATGGTACTTGTACAGTATAGAGGACTCGGTATGGTTCACCGATATATATAATTCTACCAATACTTGATTTCAGGGTAATGTGTTTGCAGATTCGGGTTGCACGCACATAGCCCCGTGGCGGCTTACCATGTTGTTCGAGCCTGATGCCATGTAGTTAGGATACAACATGAGAGGACGATAAGAGACGGGAGTCGACTCATGAGTATTTGGAAATCAGTATCATGTTCTGCCTTGCATACACCCCTCAATATTTCCACCCGAGAAAGAGTATAAATAAAGGCTCCATGCTGGCCTTTGAAATTTCCTTGACATGCTCAATCTCACATTTCAAGATGTCTCTATCCGCGTTGAACTCAGAGCGAACAAATTCCACGTCACGTTCCTATTCGGGAACTCAAGATATGGCCGAGCAGGGTCTTGACAGCCGCTTCGAAATGCATCCAATGGCAGGCCCCTCTTTAAATGACGGGACGACTAGCAGGCCGCTTACCCCCCTATATTCGATAACGACAGACGTAGAAGGGCTTGCGTCCTCTCATCAAAGTACCCAACATTACAACCCTTACGTAGATTTCAGCTAATATTTTTTTTTTAGAAATCCCGTGTTAGTCTGGTTTATCCCTATGGCGGCATAGACTCGCAAGATGTATCAACTCGATCAAAAATATCTTTCCAGTCAAACAAACGCCGCGAGCAAATGTTTACCAAGTTGAATATGATAAACTGGAATATCCGTGTTGTGAGTTTCTTCAATCCATCAATCAGACAATAATTTGATTATCATTGTAGACCTGGACCAGCCAAAAGGGTGGTCACAAGTCGCAAGCTTTCTTGAGAGTTGCGATAGTTTCAGTATCTATCGTGGGTTCGCATCTCTTCACGCAAGAGTGTTATTATTCCGAACGAACAGGATCGTAGCACTACATAAAAAACTTCATGATTTAGATCTGGGTGATGCCAGAAACGGAGATACATCGGACAGACTCGGAGACATTTCTCAAGCTGAAGCTCTGGAACTTGAGCTTGAGCAAGAGAAGGTAATTCTGGGTTTGAATGAAGAGTTACTTGCTTATGGTAAATCAGAACTCCTGGTTGCTTTGTTTTGTCTCGAGTTGACACTATAGAAGGTGCACTTTTGATACAATTCCAGAAGTTGAAATCATTTTCGCCAACACCAGAGAAAGATCACCTGTCTGTTTATAGATGGTTTTGCGGGGAGAAGCTGGTGGATCTCGAACAATGCGAATACATGCGTCAACCGGAGGATTTCATCTCACTCGTTACCCCACAGAGCAACCGATTGGAAAGATTTGTTGAAGATAATTTGAATACCCGGCCAATATCGTGGTTTCAAGTTGGTTCTATCCTTTGCACTTCCCAAATCCTGGACTATGCGCTGCAATCAGCTAACAAACGATTCAGAAGTACTTGCTTGCCACGCCTAAACGCAGCAACCCTACAGAAAAGACCGTCAAGTTCTTTTCTACTTTCCGCATCAGTTTGTTTTCCAAACTACTGGTTGTTTGCATGACAGTCTTAATACTGCTCATACCCGTGATTCTCTTTTTGACGATAACGATGGAGGCAGGATGGATGGCATTTGCCGCGCTCGCATTCGTATTTCTCTTCAGCGTCATGAGAAGTCTACTTACGGATACGGGGACTCAGGAGATCTTCGTTGGAACGAGTGCTTATTGCGCGGTGCTCGTTGTGTTTTTGGGAAATCTAAAAGGACCAGCTTAGCTTTCATTCAAGGGTCGAGGGGTATAAGAGAGGGTGATGAATACCTATGTTACTTGCTTCATGTCTGAAGGGTAAATAGTTCTGTATTTCGTCGCAAATGTTTCGTTCAAGGACGCTCATTGGTACTAGCACATGAATCGTTGTGGATTATTAAGACAGCTAGCTAAGCTGTCTAGTCTCCGAATCTGAGGAATTTACTCTTTTGCGCGTCAAAGAATTCTAGAAGCCTCCTATTCCAATGAGTTTACGACAGTTGATGATGAAGGTGCAATGCGCAATCGTGTTCGACGTCACCCCCTTGATGGATCCTGACGCGATCCTGGTTGAGGCTTGTCTGGCCTTGGGGAGCTCTTTGATTGGCCGTGAATTGCTACTCTACCCAGCCTCGCCGTTTTGACTGCATACTCTCTTTATCAATTTCAATCAGCCACTTGAAGCTTGTATCAAGATATCTATCAGAGGGTTAAAAAGTTGCCTAAATGAAGATTTTTGATATGTTTTGGCTAGTGCTTTCAACTCCGCGAATGAACGATTGTTTCTCGAATGCCATCCGCGCGTAGGTTAATGGGATGTGAAGGCCTGATCCTTCCCTTCGACTGCAGTGATTGCTGGCAAAAATGATGATGAGCTTTTGAAGCATAGAAACAAGTTTCTTGTTTCGAAACTTGTTTCTATATATTCACGATCTCAATGCTCTGATACGTTATAATAGCCCTATGAAATCCCAGATAAGTATGTCGGAATAGTAGGATAAAGTGCTTATCGACACGTATCCACAATTCGGAGGAAAACCCGGACATTGTTAACAATTGTATACCGAACTCCGACGTCCAGAATCCTGAATCCTGAGTACCTACATATATCTTGTGTGGCCCGTTTCTGTGCCATCGTGGCTTAAGTTTGGGGCCTTTATTCCCCATACATTTTCCGATCAATATGGCTCCCGAACCGACTCGTTCCGAAGAGACGACCCCTTTGTTACCCAAGTTACCTACACGATCTATTCATTCCACTACTGATCACAATGCATTACTCACGCGTCAAACTGTAGCTATTCGCGTTTCTGTCATTGTTATTCTCTCTGTATTACTTGTTGAAATAGGTGATTATATGCTCCAAGCACCGCTGGCTAGGACGCTTGAAGATATAATATGTCGAGATTATTATTCATCTGCTCCTCTCTCTGGATTTAGTGAAGCGCCTCGACTTTCGATTCCGGAAAGTCATTGCAAGAATGATGTTATCCAAGGAAAATTGGCGATGTTGAAAGGGTGGGATGGAACTCTTGCTTGTATTCCAGGTCTGATCATGTCGGTACCGTTTGGAGTGTTAGCGGATAAAATTGGGAGGAAGGCTGTGTTGTTTATGAGTTTGATAGGTATAGGTTTGGGCTTGGTCTGGGTTCAGGTTATTTGTGAGTTTCTGGATTTATAAGAGTTGAGACGAGATGATAGGCTGGCTATCAGGTTAGGTCCTGCGATGCTAATTGGTACAGGCTATTTTGATACATTTTTTGACATAAGATGGATTTGGTCGGCAAATTTATTCACATTGATTGGAGGCGGCTCCGCGGTGACGAGAACTATGTACTATACCATTATCGCCGATGTAGTAGCCGAAGAACAAAGGTACGTGCAATCCAATGGCCCTTATTTTGACCTACTTTATGCTAATGAAAGACATACAGGGCTACAGTTTTCTTTCAAATTGTGGCAGCTTCTTTAATAGCCACTTTAGCTGGTGTACCATTGGCTTGGTGGCTTATAAAAGTCTCAAGCCTAAGGGTTCCTATGATGGCAGCTGTTTTGTTTGTATTGCTAGGTGCTCTACTTGTCCTTGTTCTTCCGGAAACGTTGCATCTAAGGGAACACCTAAGTATTTCTTCACCGGATCCTAATCAAGCACGAGGAGAAGCGGTGGAAGATGAAAGTAGCTCCAGCGATGACGAAGGGGCATTGACATTCTCTAAAAAGAACTGGTCGATGCTTCTTGAAAATTTGGAGGAATCCCGTTTCGTTTTCACAAACCCAAAACTGCTCGCACTCTCTGCTACATTTTTGGTCCAGTCCTTGCATGGAATTATGAACCAGTTTCTTCTTCAGCTTGCTTCGAAAAGACTGGGCTGGACACTTGCTGATGTATGTGCTGCCTGTTCCTTCAATTCTCATATACTGACGTAATACCGTAGGCAAGTTTTCTCATTCCTCTCGCTTCAATCACAAACTTTGTTCAATTGGTACTCGTTCTCCCTGCGATTTACGCTATTCTGTCGAGATTCCATTTGCAAACTGCTGTGAAGGATCTGATGGTTAGTCGAGGCTCTGCTTTGCTCATGGCTTTGGGAGCACTCGGGCTTGCGATATCACCCGCTCGAGGTCTATTCGTCATTTGTAAGTCGTTACTATTCCAATGCCTCTGAACTCCCTTTCACTATCAATGATCATGATACCGAATGTGATGACTAACGAGAGTAGCAACGATCATTTTTTCTCTTGGAATGGGTCTATACCCAGCTATTCGGTCTCTTCTTACTGACTTGGTGGACCCAACACAAGTCAGTCGATTATACGGTGTTCTCGCCGTTATGGATACGATTGGCGGAATGGTTAGTAGTCCGTTAGTAGCAGGGGCTTTCAGCTCAGGTTTAAAAAGAGGAGGATTGTGGAGTGGAGGGGGATTTCTAGTTGCTGCAGTTGCATATGCCGCCGCTGGACTTCTAACTTTGTCAGTCAGTGTAAAGAAGGATGAGAGCACCATTCACGAAGATGTGAATCGGGTAGTCGATGAGGAACTTTAATGCAGGAATAACTTTTGTGGGGTATTGGGGGATTCGTGGTATGATCATTTCGGTATGTAATAGAGGCAACATGTGTGTATTAAAGGTTCAGATAGCGTTGATTAGATTTGGATTTGGATTTGGATTTGGCTTTGGATTTGGGAGCGACGTTTTTTGTCATAATAAGGGGTACGTATGTTCAAGGAGGTTTGAATAATCAAATAATGCAGATATAATCTCTTACATGTAATACATACTTTGTGGAGTTCAATAGATCTCAGCTGAGGCAAAAAGCGTGAACGATTGAAACAAGTTAACTGATTCCCGGATGAGGTCTACTTCTCACTGGAGACGAATTAACCCCTCGCCGAGATTTGTGTTCAACTTTAGCTACCGAGCAGAAGCTCCACTCACAACCCTTATTTATTATTTGACCACGGAATATTCATACACTGCTTGAACAGTTTGAAACTCAAAAAGAATGAACAAAAAAGAAAAACAATGTCTTCAAGGCAGTCTCGTCGTCTTCATTGGGGTTTCAAGTCAAAGCGGGCCCTCTTGTGATTGGTCATCAGGAAGTCCAAACATCTTTCTTAAAACACACCTCGCACAGTCTCTCCCTGAGCCACCAAGATCAAAGCACAACTTCAGACTCATTCAAAATGTCGACCTTCGAGATGTTTTCCCTTCATTTTCTTAATCGAATATCGCCTCACAAATTACAAGAAAAATGCAACTTCCAACTGGTGTCAATCGCAAATATGCCGTCTTAGCAGGCTTCGCCCTAGGTTTGGCCTGGCTTTGGTTTGCTTTCGACCGTCCTCAAGTTATACCTACACACATCATCTGGAATGCCAATCCGGGTGGCCCGCAAACGAACATACCTGCTGCCACCTTAGACCAAAAAGATGTATTCGATTTCCCGCATGTCAATTCCGAGGTTATGAGAGCAGTTTGTGCGACACAAACGTGGAACTCGAGCGTCATATTTACATGCGATAGCAATCAAGGAGGAGTTGGACATGTGCGAAACTCCATACTCAATTGCGTGCGATATGCAATTGGTGCAGGTGGTAGCTTGGTTATGCCAAATATCAAGCTGAGGGAGGATATTCAGGACTTGAACATGATGCCCAGCGAGGAAGGGGAGAAATCTCACATGGGCAAACGGCATGGGCTTGGCTGGAAGGGTCTGGATTATATGTTTGATGCGGATCATTTCAAAAAATCTTTGAAGATGTCATGTCCTGAATTGAACATCATCGATCATATGGAACAAACAGTCAATGAAAGAAGACGCGGGCTTCAGCCTGAGAGCTTGTTTATCAATCGACCAACAAGTGGATTAGAGCATCCAGAGGAATGGCAGGAAAAGTTACATGTTTGGATTGAGAAATGGATGTCACCAACACCACAATCGATACCAATAGTTGTGGATCTGGAACAATCAAATCTTCAATACCCAACTCATGCCGATGGCCATGTCTTTGCTCATGAGTTTGGACAAATAATGAAATTCCGACCCGATGTTCGTCGCCTTGCAACCTCGACCCTACGCGAAATTTCGAATTGGTATGATGTACCACTTAATGTCAGCTCCACAATTGTTACCCCTTCATTCTTAGGCGTGCATTTGAAGACTGAGCCGGAGGGAATCGAGAAGCGACATGTTGCTGCCGCTCCATTTATGCACTACCATGGTCAAGCCGAAGCATACATCGCACTGGCTAAGTCGATGAAAACGCCACTCATATACGCTGCCTCAGGTGATATTGATTCTACTCATAAATTGGCAGTTGAAGCTAAAACTTATGGGATTGATGTCACCCACAAAGAGGATCTTCTAAAGAACCACGAGCGAGAAGAGTTGTCTCATCTGAGATGGGACCAGAGAGCTTTAATTGACTACCTGGTGGTCTTACGGGGTGAATATTTTGCTGGTGTAGGCCATTCGATGTTCTCATGGAATGTAATGTTGAAGAGACATGAGTCCGCGCTGTTGAAGCAAAAATTGCACGATGAAACTTATGCTGATGATCTGAGTAGTCTCTATGGTGTTAGAGAGAGCTATTTGGACTCGGCAAAATGTATGTGGGCTTAATCTTGTTTGGATGATTTGCGTTGGAGTAAAGGATATTTTGGAATACATTGCTTGGAAAAGCAATAGGGTATATACAGAGCTTGCTGGGCTAGCTACTGTTGTAGGTTGAGACAGAATTTAATA